CCCCCCCAGGCATGGAAAATCTTTCGGTGAGGCTGGTCCTCCTCTTATATGACTGTGGTTTGAACTTCACTCTGAACATGGAACCTGGTGGGTATGGAGACATGGCTATTTCTCAGTGATGGAGAGGGACCCCCCCCCTCACCCTGTGGGGGTATGATGCTGCTTGTTTGTCGCGTGTGCAAATGCAGCTTGCCAGCCTGCTGCTACACGTGTGTTGCATACATAGCATGCTGATAGTAACGTTTCCACGGTGCCAGACGCCTCGCACCAGCTAGGCTTCGCTGCTCCTAATTGAGAGCTTATGACCCAGAATTCCATAATACTCAGCAGGTAGTTCCATGCCCAGCACACGGGAATATGGAGTCCCAATTGGGATTCAGTGATTGCTCCGGCACCTGTGTGTCACTGGCTGCCAGCACTGAATGTCTTGCCACTCCTCCAATCAGGATTTGATGGTCACTTTGGCACCTGCTCGTCACTGGCTGCCAGCACCGAAGGGTCTCACTGTTCCTCCAATCAGGATTCATTGGTCATTCCTGCACCTGCGTGTTACTGGATGCCAGCACTGAAGGTCTCACCACTCCTCCAATCATGATTTGCTGGCTGCTTTGGCACCTGTGCGTCACTGGCTGCCAGTACTGAATATCTCGCCATTCCTCCAATCGGCATATAGCCCAGCCACCCAGGGCCAGCCGATTTGCCAAATTGGCAGGGATGTGTGTCAGAGTTGCACACGCCTGCCTGCGTGATGAACAGGCAGGCTTTGGCCGAGATCGAACCACAAACAAACAAACGACAGGAGGGAACATGACCCCAGATCAGAGGGTGACACAAAGCTTTTAATCTGCTGGAGATATCTGGACATCTCTCTGTGATAAAATTGCAGATATAATTCCTCAGTGGATTTCATCATGGAAAAACATGAAATGCAGTTCAGTCCTAAGCTCTTGGCAGTGTCGTTAAACAGCCCGCACTGGGGATATAAATGGCTTACCAAGCTTGATGCTCCTCTATTATGGCAGAACTTCTTTAATTCCCCAATTTTTAAAAAGGAAAAAGCTTTAGTCAGTGAATGTCTTTCCTTCTGGGTCTGTTGCGGCCCATTCCTAACTCTGAATGCACCCCCTGCGGTGTCGCATCCCAAAACAGAATCCGAGTTCAGTCAATTTTCAAAACGTTTGTTCTTGCCTTTTGAATCTGGGTTTATCCCAAGAGTTTTTTGACTGTTCCCCGGGTGAGCAAAACATGTCCTCCTTCAGCACAGAGGCTGCAATGGTATCCCATGCAGGCCAAAGCCCCACTTCTGCAGCAAGCCGTCTGCATACCGCACATGCACAGGACTACCTGCAGGAATGCAGCGTCACTACTGCTATGAGGACATATGGGCAATACATTGTGTTAAAAGCAGCTTTAACATGTACACAGAACACGCAAGTATGCTAACCCACTGTTCTATAAGAAGGAATCATAACAGAAAAGCAAATCGCTTAATTTGCATAATGAACTGGACCAAGACAAAAGTAGCTGTATATTGAATCAAGAAAGTAGTAAGAATGTTTGCTACTGCTTCCTTTCCCCTTAAAATTCAGCCACATCACATCGAAAAAAAAACCGCATATGGACAGGCTGGGATGCCTGGAAAAGCACTGCGTCTGTCGCATGCTGGCCGGCAGGGCTGAAGCTGGCCGGCAGGGCTGAAGCTGGCTGCCCATCTGCTGCGGGACGCAGAGTCACCAGCAGATTATGTACGTGCGTTTGTAAAGCCTCACAAGCGGCCCAGCGTACCAAATGTGAGCCTCAGCGTGTACTGCGATGTCTGTATACGGGTTTTACATTTATTTATTTTATTTTATCCAATGTGACGTACGTTTTTGAAAAAGCAGATCAGACAGTCCCTGGATGAATCAGGGGCTACGGGCCTTTCTCAAGGTTCCAAAAGTGGAGCTATCCTGCCAACCCTGGGACTAGAGCTGGTGACCTTCCGATCACAGGCACAGTATGCTAACCCACTCAGCCGCACATACAGACCAAAGCCAGCTGACAGCAGACTGAGCGTCGATACAGTGCTAGAAGGTTCCGCTGAGGGTTTCTGGGCTTTGCTCCTTTATCACTCTCCACCATTATTATAGAGTGGGGGATTCCCCTGTCAGAGGGCCATCAAAACCCATAAATATGCATATATTCCTCATATTTGACAGGAACTGGGCGCTTCCATGATATTCTCTGGGTAACACTTCACTTCAGGGGTGGCCAGTCTTATCCACAGAGGGCCAGTGTGTGTGCAGGTTTTTGGGGTTAACCTTTAGGTCAGCTGTTCAAACCCTGGTCTGAGGACACTTCAGCCAATCAGTCCTCTAATTAGTAATCTCATTGTACCAAAATCCCACACACACAACAGCCCTTTTTGGATAGAATTGCCAACCCCTGCTTTACTCGATGCTTTCATCCATAATGCATTATAATGGTCGGTATAAGAATTTATGATGCTTTGTACTGCATTATGAAGGTATCTACAGTGTATTATAGATAAAAGCTTCATGAAGCATTCATAATGCATAATACACATGGCTGTGTTATGCCTGTAATGTGATGTCTTTATGCATTTTTATGAATATTTCTTTCCATGTTTATAATGCTTTACGAATGCATTATAATGTGTTATTAATGTGTTCGTAGATTCTTATAGACATGATATTCATAGAAAGTGTCACCATTCTCTATACAGTACATATTGTGGGATGGTCATCACAGGTGAGGTAAACTGATATGCAGATATACATAATATACAAACGTCACATGTGGCTGAAATGGAAAAGAGGGTTAATCTCAAATGTCTCTCTAAATAGCCTCTTCCCATGATGTGCTGTGCAGAGTTTCACATGGATAGCAGAAAGGTTTAGGTACTGCAGGAAGCTGGACGCTTGCGTTTTAGTCCGTCACTGTTAAACCGTCACTTTTCTGGTGTGTGGAATATCATCTCCAAAAGCAGAACTCACCTCTTGAAGGGGTTCAGTCATCTCTATGCCAAGCCGGCGTGTATGAAGTACGAAGTGCATATATATAATATGCAATTAGTTTTTCCAGAAAACCACTTTTTCTTTAATCACTGTCCTTTATGAATCACCCTGCTCCTGCGTTTGGCATTTGGAAAGGAATGATTGGCTAATCTCTGAATCTGTGGCTCAGCGTGACTTTTGTGATGCATGAAGCTGCGCTTCTGCTCTAATTTGCTTGACATCCTATGCTACTGCAAATGTAATTGCAACTGTACTTCAGAAAACTGGGTGTAAATGCATAGCTATATCTGATAATCTGGGATAAAAAGCCATAATCTTAAATGTTCCCAGCAGATCCTCTAACTTTTTTGAGGCCCTCCATACTTATGGCAGTGCATGGCTTGACCACAGTCAGGTTTGTAGCCATTGTGTTGGTCGTGCGTGTTTATAAGATTGAATAAAAAGCAACGTATTATTTTGGATTACATAAACAAACACTAGCAAGCCATAAACTGTTTATCTGGCTGCTGCTTCCCTATGTATAAAACCTGGGCAGCTTCCATCTGTTTGGAAAATGTCCTGCTGCAGCTGTACACAGATTGTGTGGTTTTCAGAATTCTACCCAGCATGCCTCAGTGTCCACTTTCCGCTCATAGCCTAGCGACCCGGTGCCCGTAACTCAGTTTTCTGTGGACCAGAGGGGTGTCCAGGCTCAGCCTGCTGTTCCTATGAAATCCTTCCCCTCCGGCAGACCCTTCTTACCCTGGTGCTGACCTTTGGCAAACGTGGCAGTGACTTTTCCAGAAAGAGAGGCATTTTCCTGTCAGTCTGAATAGGCAGCTGTGTGACGTTAAAGCCTGAGGCTCCTTAGTAAGATGATTAGGTTTATATGAGCCTGTAATTTATATACATATTTACAAATCGATATCGCTGCTTATGCTTTTACACCTGTGCTCAGAATGTAGACGTGGAGTGTTACCTTCCTGCCGCACTGGGACACTGCGTGGTCCGGCCTGTGCCAGCTTTCATGTCCTGTTCAGACCAAACACACACATGCCTGAGAGGCCGGCGGTGCCTTTGGTGCGAGATGCTCCCATCCAGGTGTCCACCATTCAAAGCGGCCTTCTCCACTCGCCGCCGACACCTGCGGCCAGTTTACAGCGCGGTTAGGAGGAAAGCGGCAGGTCCACGTCCGCGTGAGCGCGGGAGATCGTGCCGGCCGGGTCGCGGTTAGGAGGAAAGCGGCGGGTCCACGTCCGCGTGAGCGCGGGAGATCGTGCCGGCCGGGTCGCGGTTAGGAGGAAAGCGGCGGGTCCACGTCCGCGTGAGCGCGGGAGATCGTGCCGGCCGGGTCGCGGTTAGGAGGAAAGCGGCGGGTCCACGTCCGCGTGAGCGCGGGAGATCGTGCCGGCCGGGTCGCGGTTAGGAGGAAAGCGGCGGGTCCAAGTTTGCATGAGTCTGGGAGAGCGTGTTAAAGTATGGTAAAGCATGGTAAAGCATGTCTGTTGGCTGTTCCTGAAGCTGGGCTGCACGGAACCAGCCAGTCCCTGTTACTGGTTGGATGGATCAGGAACATGCCAGGGGTACATTCTGGGGTACATTCTAGGTCTCCCGGCATTAAGGCTTGGGGGCCGTGTCTGCGGGGCTCCATTGACCATGAGGGGGCTGGGGGGGGCAGCCCAACATTCCAGCTCTCTGTGTGTCACATCCCTGCTGTCCTAAATGGCTGCAAAGCAAAATACTGTCATTCACTTATTGCCAGAATTCATATCTTCTGGGGATGGTGAATACCCCAGTGAAACCTGCCAGGGTTGATATGGTTTTCTTTAATAAAATGTGTGTGTTCTGGGTGAAATCCATAAAATGAAGGTTTATTTGTCAATTGCAGAAGTATGAATACAGGTACATAGGGATGCTTCTTTTCACATATCCCATCATGCTCTTCTTTTCTAAAACACACACACATAGAGCCATAGAACCATGCTTCGGGTCTGAGGGCTGGGCCAGCCGTCCATCTGGCACCCCTGGAGCAGATGATCAGCACTGCGGTCTCCTACTTGGTCTCGATTCAGCCCCTCCCCGCGTGCGGGTGTGTTCCTGACACTGAGCAGTGTAAATAACATGCTGTCAGTAGGGGGGGAGGGGGTTCTTTCTGAATATTTTGCACTGTCTGTCTTGCACACCCGGCTCCCCTGGGCCCCATGGCAGCCTGAGGCTGAGTGCCGATGATGCAGTATTGACAGTGATTGACAGGGGGGGGGGGGCTGAGGTGATCACACGGCTCGCATCCATCGCAGATGGTGGTTTCCACAGCCACCCTGTGGTCTGCTGGTGAGAGCGGACCTCAGCAGGGGATGGATAAAATGCGACATGGCACGACCCCACACCTGACAGGGCTACAGCTGAGAGCCCCCCCCCCCAGAAGAGAAATGGGGCTGTGGCTGTGTAACACGGTATTTGGCTCTTCACACAGCTCTGCCTCCCCTGGCCTCTCACACAGACCCGGGACCAAGAGAAATGAATATATGCTCTCTTTTCTTACCTTAAATCATTTTCACACTGTCATTTTTATGTTCTTTAGCTGACATTAACACATTTTTCTGAGTAATTCGGTATCCATTGTGTTTCTACTGATGTACGTGAACGTCTATGTGGAATTTTTTAAATATGCTGTTGGGTCATAGGTCTGGACGCCCTGAAAAGCCCGTAGCAACAGAAGAAAAATAATACTAATAATAATTATGGTTTTATGCCTATGAACCTTGTATCTAGTGCACTGTTAAATTCAAAAATTCAAATATTCTAAAAATGTGGCAGGACACCATTTCTCTATAAAATTACTGGTATACAGCTAGAGATCAACAGACCTCTACCACGTTTGACATATATGATTAGCAAGCATGATCATCTCAGGTTCTGGTGGTGAAGTCTCCTGAAATGACAGTCTTCTCCAGGCTGGTCACCTCCACCCGAAATAGAATGGTGTGAAGAATTCCCACATGAGCGCCTTTGTTCCATTGTCTGAAAGCATCTACATGATCCTTTTGTGCTGATTTAGAAATACCACAGGGGTGTTTTGGGAGCAAACCCAGCTATGAAAGAGTAGCGTGTGTGGGCTCATTCTCTGAGGGACCTCGGTGAGATGCCTTTAATTCAGGACGTCGGTGTGGCCTCCGAGGAGGGCGCTCTTCGTGAAGCAGCTTCTGCGGAGCGTCTGGTGAGACGCTGCGGCGCGCTGGCTGGGCGACTCGCTCTTTAAAGCGTGTCCCGTTATCTCTGTGTCACGCAGGTGCAGTTTAGCGACAGACAGAGCGGCAAAGAGTTTCTCACCTACCTGACTCTGTCGCCCGCTCAGATGGGATTCCACGGCACCGGGGGCTCCGTCGAGGCTAGCCATGACCAGGTATCACGCGTGTGTCTCTGTGTCTCGGCCTGTCTTTAATTTCTCACAGGTCTCTGTTCATGTACTCACTCATTAACTGTGCGCTAATCGCCTGGCACGGACAGTAAACAGTAAAAGGTCTTTGTAGAAAGAGCACAGTGAGTCCTTAGTCAATAACGACCTCCGAGAGGTTTCACTAACTGCTTTGAAACGCTCCACTAATTCCACAGTGATGTCATCTCTGGAACGACAGAACCGACACAACTAATTGATCTGGAATTTCCCTTCCGTTTTGTTTATTTACTATCCAACTGTGTGAGTCGAATTCAATCTCGTCAGCGCGTGGGACCTGAATGGCGGTAACCTCATTTGTCACGCTTCTTTGTGTTAATGAAAAAGGTCATTTAATGATAGCTGTCCCCAGCCATGCTGTGCTACTCCTGTTCTTTGTTTTTCTGCAACCCTGAATTAAATATCCTTGAATCTCCTTCCTGGCGTCCGCATTGTACGGCACTAACCAGGCAGAAAACAAGACGCTTATGTTATCCGATGTAAATGTGGGAACACCCCCCCCGAGCACCCCCCCCCTTCTCTGTTCACCATGTCTGTCCACTGTCAGCATGGCCCGCGGAATGAAAATCGAGGGATTAGAGACTGATGTTGCTGCCAAGAGCACCGGTGTGTGACTGGCTGTTAGGGTGATGTCTTTCTCGTCATTTCGGAGCTCGCTGCTGTGTCTGGGGACAGTAGGGCAGAAGGGGAGAAGCCCGTTTTGTGACACAAACTTGCTGTTTCCACAGTAAATCACACAGTATGCATAGTAAAACGCATGGTGTGCTTGGTAAAACGTGCTATGCGTGTGGTAAAACATGGTAATCATGTGCCGGGCATGGTAAAAGGCATACCGTGAAGCTGGGTTACTCCCTGCTTTGCAGCCGTAGCTTCTGGAACAGGCACCGGACCTTGGCGACCCTGCATAGGACAAGTGGGTATAGTAAATGGATTAATAGATGGATGCACGGCAGATATTCTGACCTGTGATGGAGCTTGCATACAAACCCATTCCTGATTCACGGTCACCGTTACCTGGGAAATCCTTTCTTAGCTGGAAAAGCTCTTTTCACACAGGGAATGGGTCCTTCTAAGGTCAGTGTGACGCGGGTGGACGTGACGCCCTCCACGTAGACCACGGGCCGCTCTCAAGGTCATTGCTCCTCGGAATATGCCATGGCCTTCGTTTTAATCACACAAATGGCTCACAATTTGCAATTTGCCTTTCATTACTGGAATTGAATATGTTGCTGTCCTAAGTTTAGACCCCTGCCTTGAGACTGGCTCGCGGCTATCATTGCAAGATAACGCATTAGTAAATATGAACCGCATGAGCTTCCCAAGAATGAAAACATAATTCCTCCGAAGACAGTTAATTAGGGGCCAAGGCTCTTTTCTCCTCAGCACTGGTCTTCTTTGGGTGATTGTAATGTGGCAGACGGGGGCCTTTGTCTGTGATGTCGGGGGTGGGGGGGTTTGGATTGATTGTGCTGGTGGATGGAGTCACCTGTTAGGGGGGGTGGGTGGCTATTGGCAGCTCTGATTCATGACGGGGCCACCGCTGAGCGCGTCTTCAGAGAAAGCCCCCGCCTGGCCACCTACTGCCTGCGACGTTTGAAGTGACCCACCGCAGCGGAGATGAAAATGTCAGTGCGGCAGGACGCCTCTGTCGGGGGTCTTCACGTTACTAAGCTCGCAGCTGTTGGAAGAGTTCTCGCGGTGTCGCGGGACGCTTGCATTATGCATCTATTGCCCCCTGGCAGCATCTGGGGTAGAGCCGTTTACGCGAAGCAGACTTTTGACACCCAAACTGCCCTTTCAGACATCATCGTGGTGAGATAAGGCAGAACGGCGCTCTGAGAGGCCTTTACTGATGGCCTCATGCTGCTTAAAAGCTCTGGTGTGCGATTGAAGGCCCCCCTGTCAGGAGGAGCACCTTTTCTTTGGTGACCCCCGGAGGTGCTGTTCTCGTGTGCTCGTTCAGTACGTGACACCCGGGGTTAGGGTTGTGGGCTACAGCCAGCTCTTCCTTCAGCTGAGGAGGCTCCAGTAAGGTCCAGGAACCACCGGCTGAGATGCCGGTGATGTGACGTGGGCCTGCAGTAAGACAGTCAGTCAGAGCTGCACATTCGTTGAGTTGAACGTCATGTTGCAGAGGCAGCAATATGCAGCTGCGTGTTGCACGCTGTGTGTCAGGGATATTAGCATCACACTGAGCTCAGTTATACTGAGCTGAGTCCTGGCTATAGGGCTGGCATTTTTGGTGCATTCTGGGATATAGTCTTGCATGAATGATGGAAATTATCTATTTTAAGTTTAAAAACAAGAGTCACTTGTATATCAACCTGTCACTGCCTGAAGAGATCTGGCCTGGGTTCATACTGTAAATCAGGGTGTCCCTTTGGCCTAGCCCGGGGTCATACTGTAAATCAGGGTGTCCCTTTGGCCCAGCCCGGGTTCATACTGTAAATCAGGGTGTCGCTTT